TTTGAGCAAGAGCACTGCTTTCTCTGTGCCACCAGTGGCTCAGAGCTGATGGGAAGCTGATGGGAAGGCTCTACTGGCTGCCTCTGGTGGCGTCCCGACTGCCGGGGGTGGAGAAGGGGGTGGGTGGCTCAGCCCTGCCTCACTTTTTTTTTTTTTTTTTTTTTTTGGCATGGCTACACTTTCCTAATTGCATGCCATGGGTTCTGGGTGGAATTTGTGGTGTTCCTTGACCATGTACCACCTGGTGAGGCGGCTGGTGAAGAGCCAGGAAACCAGCTGCCAGGGACGGCTTGCCGGATCGCAGGTGGGTGTCTGAGCTGCCACTGGGAGGAAGTGGGTCAGGCTGAGGTCCAGAGCTGACAGTGTCCTCTGGTAGGCCAGGGACCCTCCCGCTGAGGCTTCAGTACATACTCAGCTACGCTTGAGAGTCACCTACAATTTTTCAAAGACTCTGATGGCAACCCAGGAAAACAGAACTGACTGTTGGCCACGGGCCCAGGCACAGCGTGGTCCCCCACTCAGGGGAGGCTAGCCTTTCTTCCGGCCATGCCAAAGAAGCAGTGGGTTCCCAGGACACAGACTGTCAAGGACCTCCACTATCATTCAGAACCTGGGAATTTGCGCCACCTGCTGTTGCCCGATGAGGGCAGAGTTCGTCACAGCCCCCAGACCCTTGTCACTGGTCACTTTCTAGCAAAGAGTTAGTGCTGTTGCATGCCCTTCATCTCTCTTTCTGCTTCTGGCAGGTCTCCCCGCCTGCTCGTTTCTTTGTCTGGGAAGCTCTGGAGAAGGTGGTATGGAGACCCCAGACTGAGCACCCCCAGCCTCTGTTGAGTCAATAGTGTGGGGGGTAGAGCAGAGCTCCTTTTGCCCTCCGCCTGGGGAGATGCTGTGGGCACTCAGGCCTGGGTGGGGAGAGGTCCTGAGTCTCCCTGAGGCCAGTTTGGGCATCGCAGAAGACAGAGGGTGACCAGAGGCTGAGTATGGGGAGATAATTCGACAAGTTGCAACTCCAGCACTGCAGGAATTTTGCTAGAGGAAAGACAAGAGAATAGAGAAAGGGCCAGAGAATGAGAAAAGCCCCAGACCTGATGTTGGCTCTGGCATGGGCTGGCTAGCAGGTGCCTCCTCATGAAGGACTGGCACTGTGCAGGTAAGCTCAGGTGGGCATAGAAGTGACCTTTCATGATTTAGTGACAGCTAAGCCCTCTCTAGTTCCTTCCTGCTCTTCCTGGTCTCCTTCTTACTACTGCTTTCTTCCTATCCCCACATCTAAAAGAAGACAAGGCAAGCCCACTGAGATCCCATCTGTGGGCTTCCTGGATATTTTTTCCGTTGTCACCCATTTCTGCCCATGCTACTTTAGTGTTTTCTTTTCTTTTCTTTTCTTTTTTCTTTTCTTGTCTCGTCTCTTTTTGTTTTCTTTCATTTTTTTCAAGACAGGGTTTCTCTGTGTACCCTGGCTGTCCTGGAACTCACTCTGTAGACCAGGCTGGCCTCACTCTCACAGAGATCCACCGGCTTCTGCCTCCTGAGTGCTGGGATCAAAGGTGTGCGCTGCCACTGCCCCACTTGTTTTTAGCACTTTTTCAAACTGAGCACTCTGAGAAATAAAACTTGCGGAAGCCTCTGTTTATGGCCAGAGGCTATGGGGCCTCTGACCGAGGTGAGGTACCAGGGCTGGGCTCCCTGTTGTTTAATGAGCAGCCCCCCCATGGGGTGTCTGGGATGGTGGCCAAAGCCCAAGGAATCAAAGGGCTGCACTGAGTGGAGCAGAAAGGAGGCTTGTGCATAGCACAGCGTGGCCCAGCCTGACACCTGGCCCCTCCTTGGCTGGGGGCCCCTTGTGAGATGAGGTCACAGTCATGTGACGTAAATCAGCAATGACCACATGCCAACCTGGGCTGCCTCCAGCAGAGGCCACTGTGACTCTGGGAGTTCAGCCTTTTCTGCCTGCCCGCACTGTGCTTGGGTTGCTGTGGGAGTCTCTGGGCCCTCATTAGAAAACCCCATATCCTAGGCAGCTGCGAACAGGACCTCAGGCCTCATCCTGGCTGCCCCAGGATCCCTGGTTTGTGTGTGTGTGTACCTCTGCTTCCATTCTGACATGGTGCCCTCTTGGGTCTGTATCTCCCTTCTGTCTCTTAAAATAATGGTGACCAAGCTGAGTGTGGTGGTGCATACCCTTTAATCCCAGCACTCGGGAAGCAGAGGCAGGTGGGTCTATGTGAGTTCGAGGCCAGCCTGGTCTATATAGTGAGTTCCAGGACAGCCAAGACTGTTGCACAGAAACTCTGTCTCAAGAAAACCACACGAACACAAGATTGTCAAATCTATGTTTAACCTGGTAGTCTAGAGGGTCTTGTCTTGGGATCATTGACTGATTACAAGTTTCCTTTGTCCTCACAGGGCTATCCACGGGCCCTGGGTGAGACAAGGATACTTAGCGTCTACAATGTCCTTGATACCCTCCTTTCTCCCAGGAGCCCTAAATCCCTGAAGGATGATCAGCTCCAGCCTCCAGTTCATCTTCATTCTTACATACCTGACATTTAAGTCAACAGACCTGAAGTCCAACAGGCCCACTTATCTTCTGGAGGCCCCAGGCATGGGAGTCTCCAAAGGGAGGTGTTGGTGATCGTAGGAGGGTTCCACTGTAGAAACAGTGGAGGAAGAGCCCCCACGAGTCCTCCAAAGAGAGTAGAGGGGATAGAGAGGGGCAGGAAACGTCAGAGATTAGGGGCTCCCTTGCAGCGTCTGGCTGGCCCCATGCTGCCTACCCACGTTTGGATTCCCTGTGGAATGCAGGAGAGAGGGCTGTGGATGCAGAGGGACAGGGGAGACAGGGCTGGGGCAGGGTCCACCCAGAGGAGAGGCCAGGCCTTGTGGGGTACTACCCACAGCTGTCCCCAGGAATCCAAGCATCGTCCTCAGCTGTTCAGTCAGTGCAGCTTTGCATGGATGGGCTTTGTTTCTGGTTACCTGGAGGGGTGGCCTGGGCATAGATATTGCTATGCGTGGCTGGCCGCTGCCTGCCTGGCGACAGCCTGCAACAAACACACATACATACACACGCGCGCGCGCACACACAAACCTGTACCTGGCTCTTTTTCTCCCTGAATTTAAAGTCTGCTTCTGAGCTTTGTTCTTGTGATTATAAAGGAGTCATGAGGCTGTGAATTCTCTGGCTGCATCAGCTGCATTGCCGTAGGTGTCTCTGGCCTTCAGGGCACCTTCCCCTGAGCTCTTAGCCTGGTTAGTTCAGCCAGCTCCTCTGTGGTGGTAGGGTTTCCATGCTGTGTGCTGTCGTGTCCCCCCAATAGATAGAGCTGGCTATATCCCAGGTACTGGGGTAATCTCGGAATAGAAAGAGGACAAGATGTGTGGCCATGTGAGGGATTGTGGCTCCTGTTCCTGCACTGGCCCTGCTGACACCGTCCTGGCTCAGCGGGGTTTCATTCTGCCCTGACCGGGAGCAAGTCAGGTGTCTGGGTAGCCTTGATGACAATGGCCTGGACACGCAGGCACAGGCTGTGGGTCCCTGCTCCCACTGTGTATGTCCATTAGAAAGACACTTTTCCTGTGTCAAGGGATACCCAGAATTCCAGGCCAGATCCAGTTTCTTTAGAACCAACAGTGTATGGACTTACTGTGATCTTGCAGGTCCCCAGTCCCCAGAGAGTAGTTTCCATTAAGCAGCCAGTCAATCCTTTGAGCGTCCCAAGCAGGCCCAGGCCATGGTTGTAGGGTCACAAAGATATTAACAGGTTTTCAAGAGAATGTGTGTAATGTGGTGTGGGTCCTGGCTTCAGGGTGTGCCTGACCCCATGGCCCCACGGAGGCCTCACTAACCCAATTATAACAAACCCTCGTCTCCCCACCCTTGGGAACCTAGTGGTGTGAATAGGCTGTCCAGCCTTCCGTGAACAGATCCAGTTAATAAACAACTGTTAAACCCTTAAAGGCCAAGTGGGACATTCACTAGCAGAGGCCACTTAGCTCTCCCAGGGGCATCCAGGAGGCACAGGTGCTATTTACCATCTGTGGCCCATGACCACTGAGGAACCCCCCCCCCCCCCCGTCCTGGGCAGGAGGCCTCAGGGCGCTGGCCTCTGCTCTGTCCTGTGTATTCACGTCGGCACTCACGGGTCCTGAAGGCAAGCATGGTGCTGTACCTACAACCAGTGTATGTGAGTCGTGTCCCCTCCCGTGTGAAGGATGAGGTGACTGTCCAGTCTCGGCTTGAAAGCTCAGGCACTCTGCATGCAGTCTCAGAGAGGGACGGTTAACTGCAGGCAGCAGGGACAGTAGACTTGCTGTGTATATAACACACAGTACATCTCCTGGAGGCCCTGGCATCACTTAGCCCCAAGGCTCCTAGGAAGGGAATGTCGTCCCTGTCTATGAGGTTGGATACCCCTGGCCAACAGGTCCCGGGACCCTGCATCAGGGAGACCACACCACCACCGCACAGGGACTGCTGTTCCTCTGCCGAGAACGTTCTTAACCGGGGTCACCCCGAGTCCCGTGTACTGGTCCTGATGGTCACCCACAGCCACCTTTCTGCGTCTTGCAAGTGAGCTCTTCCAGAGTAGGAAAGGCCCATGAGGCAGAGACCTTCCCAAGAGCAGGCGGAGTGTGCTTGCTGCAGGAGGAAGGATAATGTGTCCCTGTGGTGGGAGGAGTAAAAGGGCACAGGGTCAAGCTGTCCCCTCTGCTGTCATGGTAGGGGGTCTACATGGTGGTGGGAGGGAGCACGCAGGCACTAGTCGGGCAGATCTGATCGCAGCAGCTATGTCTGCAGCGAGCTCTCAGTGCTGGGAGCCCAGGCTGTTCCTTCAGGATGAGGCGGGGTGGGGAGCGGCAGAGGCCGTAGGCAGCAATCTGGTTCCTGAAAGGCCCCCTGGTGAGCTTGGAAAGCATGCTTGCCTGTATCACTGAGGAAATTTATAATTTAAGGAAATTATGAATAACTGCCTCAGAAAACGAGACCCAAGAAGTTCCAAAGGAAACATTTTATGAGATCCTTGAAAAAAAAAATTCTACCTTGTTAAAGATCAAATACATGCAGATTGAGGATCTTGGGGTTTGGAAATGTGATGTGGGTGTTTTCTTTTCCTTTTACAGCTTTATTGACATAATTCACAAGCCTGCAACCCACTCATTTACAGATATAATTCATTGTTTTTGGTGAATTCCAAGATAATACCATCAACTTCAGAACATCTCCTTAAACTGCTTGGCTTTCAGCCCATTCCCCAAGCCCTCCCCTGCCCTGCACACTGTTTTTGGCTTTCTGCTACAGGTTTGCCAATTCTGGGTGTTCCGTGCGAACGAGTCATATCGTGTGGGCTCCTTTCACTCAGCAGGATGTCTCTGGGGAGTCTAAATTGTCTTTCAATCCCCAGCATAACACATGCCAGCGCTCCATCCCTTTTTGTGGCTGTAGAGTATGTCACTGATGGACCACATTTACGCCGGTCGGTAGTGGATGAGTCTTGGTTTGCTGCCTTGCATTGAGCCATCTTCCCAGCTCTCTGCCGTCTATCTGCCTTGTGTTGCTGGCAGCCTCGCTGGGTGAGAAAGAGGGACTTGTGATTCATACTCGGGCTTCCAGTGGCTGAGGATTCAGGTCTCTTTGACTTCACTAGGAGTTTATCTCCATTGCAGTGGCGTTTATTTGGATTTCTCCATCTCCGGTAATAGAATTGCTTATGACTCTTGTGCTGGGAGTTCTTTGTGTACCCAAGATACAAATCCATACCCCTTTGGAAAGAACTTCCTCAGCTTAGAAAATGATATTTATGCGTGGCTGGATACTTCCATGAGGTCAGGAACAAGGCACGAATGTCTTTTTCATTCCTTTCATTCACCACTAAACCGGAAGGCTAGTTAGGCAAGGAAAAGAACATAAAAGACCTCTGCACTGTGAACCAAGAAATGAAACTATCTCTTTTTGTAAATGCCAGGCCTTCAATTAAAAAAAAAAAAAAGGCTCAAGGAACCCACTAGAAAACAGTCAGAGCTAATGAGTTCTGCTAGATCGCAGGACACAAGCTCAGTATCCCAGAGCCAATGTGTGTCTGCACACTGGCAACAGAAAATCCTCCACAGGGGGAAAAATGTCAAGAGAAAAAGCCCGCTTATAATAGCGCCCTAAATCCATAAAGCATCAAGGAGCAAAGTTAGCAAAAGACATGTAAAGTGTATTTTAAAGCCATCAAAGGACACTGGAAGAATTTAAAGAGGTTCTGAAAAGTTGCCAGTGGTCCAGCCCAGCTGCTTACAGACCAGCAGAACTCCAGCTGTGTCGAGCCTCATGGGATCCAGAATAGCCAAACAGTCATGGTTCTTGAAGGCTGTGAAAATAAAAATAAAGAAAGTTCCCCGTTTGGGGCAGATGTGGATGGTTCTAGAGTCTATAGTCATCAGAGCACATGTGGATCAATTTTGTGTAAGTGAACATTAAGTGTCAACTCTGAGAGGTAAGTTCCCTGGGGAGGGTACGCCCCTGCTCTCCCTGCCTTGAGTTTAACAGGAGACAATGCCTCCCTTGGCTTCTCCTGGAGGCCTGGTTGGGTTTGAAGGCTCTGTAGGAAGACCCTCTTGAGCCCACAGGGGATGGTGCATGGGTTCCCGCCTCTGCTGAGTCATCTTGAGTTCCTGAGGTGAAGACATTTGGAAGGAGTGTCCCAGGGAGAAGAGAAAGAAACCTCTGTTTCCCCAATAAAAAGTTACTGCACTCCTTTGGACCCATGGAAAACTTGAGCTCGTTTCTTACAGGCGCCCTCTTTCCCCCTGCACACACATCTGCACATATCCATGTCCATGAATATCTGTACATAGTAATCATCTGTGAATCCCATGTAAATATACCACACACATACACCAACACATCCACACATACACGCATGTAGTCCTTGCACACGGAACCGCACGCTGTCTCTCTGCACACAGCCATCCACATGGAATCTGCACACTGAACCATGTGTATCTCTGCACACTGTCCATGCACTCGGAGCCACATGTGTTCACTGCCATCTACACGCGGTCCAATGTGTACACATGTCCGTGCCTGGGTCTGTGTTTCCACACAGCCACAGGTGTCCACTTTCAGGCTCATCTTCTTATATGTCCACTTGTAGGCCTTTTCTTGTGATTAATTGCACCCCAGTGCTCCTGCCTGTGTCCCCTAAACATTCTCCTGAAGACCCAATGTTCTTTTCACACCTGGGAAGCTTGGGACACCTGTCTGTCATGTAACAATGAGAACATATTCACATGTCCCCATAATCCTGATAAGTGTGTGTGTGCATGTGTGTGCCTGTGCGTGTTTATGTATACCTGTGTCTGTGTTTTTGTGTACACAAGTGCACTGCCTGTGGAGGCCAGAAGAGGGCATCAGATTCACTGGAACAGAAGTTACAGATAGTCCTGAGCTGCCCCACGTTGGCGCTGTGAATCGAACTTGGGTCCTCCGGAAGAACATGTTGTATGTGCTCTTAATCACTAAGCCAATTTGGCCTCCTAGAATGGCTGCATGGTGGCATGTGGTGGTGACGGTGACTCTGAGCCTCCTTCCTCACCTTGGCTTGGTAGACATAGGCGTCTTTGGATACCCATGCATCTTGTGAAGTGTGACGCTCTTAGCACACCCGACCGGTTCCCTCTGTTTGACCTTACTCAGACTTCTGCTAAGATCTCTGGACAGATGACCATGTGTCCTTGCAGTGGGAGGAGCGCCTAAAGGGCTAGGCACCCCTGGAAGCCTGGTAGTTTCCCCCGACTCACCGACCTGTTTTTGCTTCTATCATATATGGTTTTCCTGGCTGCCTGTGATGCCTCCATTAGACACAGCCCTCCTGTGTGTTCCTAGATACCCCCAGCCTGTGGGTAGGGGACAGGACACAGCTTGGCCTTTAATGAGGAGCCGAAAGCTTGTCGTTGGTCTGTGATCACTAGTGGAAGAAGCTGGATTGAGGCCACATTGTTCTTTCCACCTAAGGGCTCCCGTGCTCTGCCAGCCAGTGGAGACTCCAGAGCCGGAGCCTTGATTCTGGTGTCCTTGACTTGGCCTCCTCCCTAGGGAGGGAATGGTTATCGGACCAAGTGGAGAGAGAAGCAGGGTTCTGTAGACCGGTGGCTAACAATTAGATGGGAACATTGCAATGTGCCCCCTTTTGCCTTAGAGGTTGGGTTGCGTGCTTGGCCGTGGGGCTTGCCCAGGTGACTGAGCACTACCGGGGAGGGGAAGAGCCTGGGGCCTTGATGTGGGGCTCTGGACACCTGGCTTTATACTGCCTAGCTACCTCTTCTCACTCTCCAGGAAAGTTCCACATGACTCTAACAACTGCTGGAGAAGGCACCGCCCGACCAGTTTGGAGCCTAGGCGGAGCTTATCCAGCCTGTCTGCGCGTTCTTCCTGAGCTGAGGAGCCTTGAAGGGGTGTCACCAGAACTTTCATCCCTTATCCATGCATTTGAAAATTTTGCTGAGAGGGCAATGCCCCGCAGAGGGTTTAGAGCTGTGCCCAGATGATGAGGGCTGCTCCTGGCACACGGGACAATGGTGAAACAGTGTTTGGACACTTCCTGGGTGGATTGTCTCTTGATGGGATGATGGACACCGGGACGATGACAGATGTCCAGCCTCCCTCTGTCCCTCAGAGGCTTGGGGGCACTTGCCATGGTCTTCTGGCTGGGTCACTGAGTGGGATTAGGACACTGTTCCAGTGCTGACTGGTCTTCTCGGGGACCCCACCTCAAAGGAAGGAGTCTACAGTAGACCCGGATCTTACCAGAGTGGTCTAGAGCACACTGGTCACAGTCAGTGGACATGGGGGAGAACCATGTGGAATACAGGCTGTGGCAACTCCGTGGCTCCTCCGTCCCTGCTCATCCCTGTTCAGCTTTGGGACAGGCAGTGGCTAGCCCTGAGAGGCCCCTGAAGATGTAGGAACTTTGGAGATGCCACAGGCTAAGACTAAGAGTAGCCTCCGAGCAGGATGTGACACCTGGGAGTGACAGAAGTGCTTCCGACCCCTGAGCTCCCAGCTGTCTCCAGAGCCAACTGGAGGCTCACAGCCTCATCCCTCTAAACAGCTTTCACCGCTAAGAGCTGGTTCCTGCTCACTGGTGGGTGTCTCGGCGTTTTTAATGAAAATAGAAGACTGCATTATTCAGGAATCCAAACCAGACCAGGCGGGCCAACAAGACAGAACAAACCCTTGCTTGGGGCAGGGGTGTGTTTTCCTGCTGAAGCGATGGGGTGGAACCTTTGGGAGGAACTGAGTGCTGGGAGGAACCTACATCTAGAGCTAATGACACTTTTTAGAGGGGTGTTTGCCCCCTGTCCCCACGGTGAAGGGAGGAGGTCGTGGTCTGCAAGCCAAAGTGACCCTGGCCTGCAGAAGATTTGGTGTCTTCTGGGGGTATAGCGGTGTGCTTGGCTGAGCCCCAGGGATGCCCTAAGGGCCCACGAGGAGAGCAGGGGCATCCGAAAACAGGAAATAGCAGGGTAGCAGGGACAATCTGGGTTCCGCGGAGTTGCAGAGGAGTTTGCCAGATTGAAACACAGCTGAAATGGTGCCTTTAGGCTCCCAATTTGTTAACTCTCCAGTTCCCAGGAATCCCTGTGTCCCTGTCATTCTGAGCTGGGACTGACTGACGTGCAGAGGGAGTGGCTTCTTGCATGGCAGGAACTTGCTTCGGTGCACCCAAGGACCTTGGCGGGCCAGGGTGAGGGACGGCTCGTGTCTTGGTACCTTGATTCTGAAGCTGAGATAAACTCATTTGCTCTCCCAGGTGCTTCTGGGTTCACTGGAGGTGACCAATCCCCAGGGCTTTGCCACTGCCCACGTTAACTTCTTGAGCCCTGCTGACCACCGTGGGCAGGAGGAGCCACGTGTGACTATAGTCACCAAGGGCCAAGAGAGGATCTGTAGTAACCGTCTGCCGTTATATGGGGCAGTTTGCACCAGTCCTTGAGGCTATATGGGCCCTCAGCCAACTCATAGGTGAAATGGGCAGAACCAATGTGTTGCACACAGGCCCCGTGGAATGGCTTGATTTCGAGGTTCCACACTGTGGTAGCTCTGCCAAGCAGGAGCCACAGCCATGGCTTCCAGAGGGTTAGACTTGACAGACTACAAGGGCTGCTCCCAACAGGGCAGGCACTGGTGCCTTGGGACAGACGTGACATGTTTCCTCACAAGGTGACATGGGCAACAGAGCAGGAGAGCCAGCTCAAGGTCAGGCTCAATTGCAGCCCAAGAAGGCCTTAGGCAGGAATCCCAGGTTTCCAGTAGACACTGGCTCTTACGTAGGCAGTGCTCACAGCTGCCAGAGAGAGGGGAAGCTGAAGGCCGAGGACTCAGAGTCTGGAGTCTGGTGGAGGCCTGCTTCTGTGGCATTGCTGTTCCTGGGGGGCTGCTGTGTGTCCATCCCTGTTTCTGACCTATTCCTGTTCTAAGGCTCAGATAGTGACCCCTCTCTACCTCTCCTTCGATGTAGGGATCTCTTTCTCTTTAGCTTTGGTTCTCTCCCCGGCATTGTGGCTGGCATCCTCAGGGCCAAGCAGTCTCCAAGCTTCCCCACAGGTACTGCCTGGCACCACGCTCTCTGTTACCAAAGGGTCTGAGGTTACCTTTGACTCGGCAGTGGCAGGGAAATGGGTTGGTGCTGTTCCTGGCTCCTCGGCTTCTGTTCTCCTGCCCCAAAATGTGATACACGGCATCCAAAACCCTGATCTGTGATGCTTCTGAGAGCACGTGTGTATGTGTGAGCATGAACGTGTGTGTTACAGTGGGCTGAGTGGGCATATACATATGTGTGAGTACACACCTGTGTGGCAATGTGTATCCGTGAGCATGTGTTTGCATGTGTATATGCATGTGTAGTACAAGATTCCTGGTGGGAGCCAAAGCTTAGAGCCTGAGCTGTGACTCCATCCACAGTGCTCCCAAGAGAATGCTGAATGTGTGATGTTCTGAAGTGAGCAGCTAGGTGGGGGAGTGCAAAGCATGAGCGAGTGCTGGGTCAGGTGTGGACACTCAGGGTCGCAGGCCCTTTGCTCTCCTCCTCTCGGCCCTTGAAGTAGCAGCTCTTGCCATTCCATTGCCTTTATCTCTGGCTCCTGGTTTTGTCCTGAAATTTCAAGTGGAGTCCCTGGGTTGCAGGGCCAGCCTGCCAGGCAAGTGGCAGGAATAACCATCAGGGTGGGGCAGGGGACCAGGACAGAACATGAGTTTAGGGTCTCTCCTCGCCCTCCTCCCTGCCAGGGAGCTGAGCCTCCTCTTCTTACATGTGCAGGGGAAGGGTTCTGGACCTCTGTCCTGGGATTTTCCAGAGACATTTTGAGGCATGAAATCACATTAGGGAATTTTTAAGCGGACTGTTCACTGGGTATTTCTCAGGCAGAATGAAGCATCACGGGGATTAACTTGGAGATGTAGCACTCAGAGGGACAGATGTGTGCCTAGGACTGCCTCACTCGTGGAGAGGGACTTGGTATCCAGCTGTCTGCAGCTGGATTCTGATCCAAGCAACACAGCTCTGCCCTTTAGACAGCCATTGATTGATGACTCCCGAGTTTTGATGTGGGGACACTCTGGGACACGCCTTTGGGGCTGTTTCATCACACTGCAGCCTTGCCACTACACTCTGCCTTGGGGGAGGGGGTGGCAGTAACTCTGGTGACAGCTCGGAGAAAGTGGGGCCAGGAGGGACAGCTGGCTGAGGCTGGAGAAGGGGCTTAGTGTAGAACCTGGTGGTAAAGCCAGGCGTGAAAGTGTGTATGTGTGTTTGTGTGTGAGTGAGTTTCTGTGGTTTTTCGAGGCAGGGTTTCCCTGTGTAGCCCTGGTTGTCCTGGACTTGCTTTGTAGACCAGGCTGGCCTCGAACTCACAGAGACCCGCTTGCCTCTGCCTCCCCAAGTGCTGGGATTAGTTAGACACTTGTTTTCATTGAGATGTTTTGACCTCTCGTTCTCGGGTCTCTGCCTGGTCTCTCTGTCGTCCTCTGTAGCTAACCTGTTTCTGCTGGCCTAGTTTCTCCAGCCTCATGAAGGACCCACCTCCCTGAGGGATAACTGCTGCCTCCCTGCTCCTCCTGGTCCTGAGGCTGCCCTCCATCCTCACTTAGGGCACAGGCCCCAGGCACCACGTCCTCCCTCTTGGGGTCACTCTTTCAGCGTGCTGCCTGGAGGAAGCCTGAGCCGCTCTTCTGCTTTCACAGGATAGCTGGGATCCACACTGGCGTGGACTTGGTACAGGGCTAAGGAGGAGCGAAGTTCTTGGATCAATGCCGACCCTTCCTGGTTCAGAGGTTCCTGGTCTGGGTGGAAGTGAGAAGTGGGAGCAAGACAACTACAATTCCAATGCTCCTCACCCCAATGTATTTACCCCACTTGGGTGCTACTGGGGTACATTTTTCACCCATTTCAGTGGTGATGGGAGTGAGGCAGAGAGCTGGCCCTGTGGGGTCTTGGATGTAGGACCACGGAACTGTGGGAGACTGCAGGGCGTTCTGTCTCCTTGGTTTCATTTGCGTGGATGTTGGCTTTGATTAGACGTAGCATCTCTCAGAGATGTGAAAACCCAGCTATAGTCTGGACCTCTCTGTCCAAGGCCCATAGCCTAATACAGATGATGGCCCATAGCCTAATCCCCTAAGTCTAGCCATCCAAAAGGTCTCAGTATTGTAGGGGCTGGTAAGACATGTGGCCAGGTGGCCAGGCAAGTGGGCCCGTTTCCCACCTACATCTTGCTGTTGCCTAGGGCTCATAGTAAGGTAGGTGGGCACGGAGGCGACCTCTGAGGTAGGAGTTCATACAGACTCAGCTCAGGAGGATGTTTGGGTGACCATGCAGCCACATCTCTGAAGGGAATGGGGTAGAAGCCTACCTGACCTCCCGGGGTCAGGGTGGCTCTCATGGAGGCTGAGAGGTACTGGGCGGGCATGCTGCAGCCCACAGCTGCAGGATTGACAGGCCACCTACAGCTCCTGGTTGGTTCTTGATAGAGTGAGGTTTTATCCAAAGCTGTGGGAAGGAAAGGGATGGGAAGCGCATAGCTGCAGACTGACCTGGTGAAAGCGAACGCTGAGCAATAGTGCCCTGGCTCTGTCTCCTTCTGGGACATATCCTTGAGGGGATGTCCCAAGGCACAAGAACTCTCAGCTTTTTCTTAGCCTCTGGGCTTCACCTAGGCTGTGGGCAAGGCTCGCTCCCCAGCCTTATATTAAAGGACTTGGGGTGGTTAGAGTGCCCCCCCCCCCACAGGCCACTAAGCAACGCCACGTCTTCTACACATAGCGGGACTCCATTAGACAGGAGGCAGGAACCTGCTATTGATGGCACATCCGTTGGATGAATCCCACACGGTTTCCTTTACCTTCAGGCTACAGGGAAGCATCTCCTAAGAATTAGTTTTGAAATACTTGCAGGGTCTGGAGCACCAACACACCAGTGACAACAGAGCAGGTCACTGCAGAGAGAGCTCTGTAGGCAGGATATATGTAAGAATAAACGAGAGAAAGAGGTAATGTATCTACTACCGCCGGGAGAGAACCAATGGGCTCTTGGGGGTCCATCAAATGAATTGATGGCTTTAGGGTTTGAGCAGGTAGGAGGGCTGTAGGTTGATAGCAGGGGTGGTGAGGGAGGGGACTAAGGGGGGCAGGAAAGGACACTCACCCCATTTCTGAAGCAACAGTTGTAACACAAGAATTGGAACTGCAGCAAGCTGAGCATTTTTCAAACTCCATTTCAACACAGAATGGTGGCCAGCAGCCAGGACTTCCGGGTGTTCTCCAATGGAGGCAGTAGGAGCCGGGGTGTGGCCTCCGTGTCCCCGAGGACCCTGGCCAGGCCCCCACACCCACACCCACACTCTGAGCCTAGACCCAGAGTCTATGCTCTAGAGCGGCTCTAAGTAGCACAAGCTGGAATCCCACTGGATGTCTCTTAACTACCTTTTGCACTCTGTAGCTGCTCCTGGAGGTGCAAGAAGGAAGGAGTTAAATGGATTCTGAAGGTACCTGTTGGTGGGTCACCTTGATTCTCAGGCTGGGTTCCTTCCCTTCTGCCAGAGGGAAATGGCGGAGGAGTGAGGCTGGAAAACGGGAATGGGGGAGGGTGGGGATCTGGCAAGCTCCACCCCCAGGACCACAGGAGCCGCCCCAGCTTGGAGGCTTGCACTGCCCTGATGGCTCCCGACCCCAGCAGACGCCTCTGCCTGCTGCTGCTGCTGCTCTTCTGCTGCCTTGTGCCTGCCAGGGCTGATGGGAATTCCCTGAATCCCTTGAATCCCCTGAATCCTCTGAATCCTCTGGGGTGGCTGTGGTCCCCCAAGACCGATGATTCCTTGGACACACCGGTCTCCCAGCCCCAGATCAGTTCACCTGTGCAGTCCACAGAGAACCCCACCACTCACGTGGTCCCCCAGGATGGCCTCACAGAACAACAGATGACTCCTGCTAACCCCAAGCTGCCCCCGGAGGATCAGGAAGCTGTCCAGAGGGGGACCCCTGCAACCCCAGCCATCCCCATCCTGCCGACGGCCTCTGCTGCGAGCCCGGACACGAAGGAGGAGAATGTTGCCGGCGTTGGAGCCAAGATTCTGAATGTGGCTGAGGGCATTCGAAACTTTGTCCAGCTGTGGGATGAGGACGCCACTACTGAGAACTCCGCCGGCACAGCTGCCTCAGCTGCCTCAGTCCCTACAGTCCACCTCACTCCTGCTGAGCTCTCCAGTGGTCCCCAGGAGAGTGAGACCACTCTCTGGCCAAGCAGTGGTGTTCCAAGTTCTCCAGATGTTCAGACAACCGAAGTTGGCACGCCGGCTGCACCCACCCAGCCACCTCCCTCCTTGAGTAGTCTCCAGGAACCTCTGGAAAGACCCTCGGCACCCACAGGTAGACGGTTTCTCTCTTCTGCACGAATCAGGGCTCCTCCCTGGGGGAGCCAGGAGCCCCCCAGGCAGCCCCAGCATCTGGAGGAGGAAGGACTCCTCCCTACGACATCCAGGTCCAGCCAACAGCCCGGACACTCTGATGTCCATCCTGACATCCACAGGCACATACCTGCTCTGCTTCCCCTGGTGACGGGTCCCTTGGTGACGGGTCCTCTGGTGACGGCTTCTCTGAGTGTGCACCATTTCCTCTCTGTTCCTTCCTCTGACCCCTCAGCCCAAATCTCTCAAGTAGCGGCTTTGCCCGGGTTCCCTGGTGCTTGGGTTTCCCACGTGGCTACCCCTCCAGGGCCTGAGCTTTCCAATGACTCCGCACTGCTGGGAACTGGCTCTCTGACCTCCACCAGCCGATGCCTGCCACTGCCGCCCACTCTGACCATCTGCGGCCGCCTAGGTATCGGACACTTCTGGCTGCCTAATCATGTACAGCACACAAACAGTGAGGAGGTAGAGGCCGCTGCGCAGGCGTGGGGGCAGCTCCTTTATACAAGCTGCCATCCCTTCCTTGCCTGGTTCTTCTGTCTGCTGCTGGCCCCCTCCTGTGGCCCAGGCCCACCACCTGCCCTGCCACCCTGCCGTCAGTTCTGTGAGGCCCTGGAGGATGCGTGCTGGACCTACCTAGATGGGGGCAGGCTGCCTGTCATCTGTGCCTCTCTCCCCTCTCAGGAGGACGGGTACTGTGTGTTCATTGGGCCAGCCACAGGTAACCGACTGGCTACCGTCCTCCCCTTTACTTTCTTTGCTTTTGGTCAGGAGAGCTCAGCCAGGGCTGATTGAGAGCCTGGCACGGGATTCCCCACCCCTGCCTCGCTGAGCCTGGTAGTGGCACTGGAGGGGTGCTGGGGTGTTTTGTACAGGGCGGAGGCTGGGGTCTGGGCGTGGCTATGACCACAGGCTCTATTTCGGTAGCAGGTATGACAGGTCATCACCTGCCCTAGGTGCTCCCTGAGTGTTGAGGTGTGTTTAGTCCTCATGGTGGTTCTTCAGTCACAGCCTGGAGGTTGAGAAACAAGGTAGCAACGTGACACAATCGAGGGAGCTTTGATTTCTACCGGATTCATTGCCTGTGGCCCTAGCCAGCCTGGCCAAAGGGCTGAAAGGTGCCAGCCACACAGGGAGGGTCATAACCTTCCTCCCCCACCCCCACAAGTCTCCTACATAACCATATGTTTCTGCTCAGCCAAGGACTGAAAGCTCTGGGAAACATAGCCTCTGGCTATGGGGGTGGGGCTTCCAAGAGGGTGGCTTCCAGGGTGTCTGTGACCCTCAAGCTGAGCTCCTGACTCCCTAGCTACTTTGGTGTTGGACAGCCTGCAGGACATGGTGTCTGTCCTCTATGTGTCGGGAAGCGGCCTTGACCTTTAGTCAATGGTCCCTGAAGCTGTGAGGCCATGCTGGATTCAAAAGGGCATCTGCTCCCAGCAGTTTCAGCTCTGTAGTAATGCAGCCATGAGGCTTCCCTGGGCTTCTGCGGGGAATCATCTTGTTAGATGCCAGGAGGATGAACTTGGATCGCTCTTGGTGAGTTGCTGGCCAGAATTGCTCGGCAGAGGCCCAGAGCCTGTTCAGGCCTAGACTATACCAAGAGAAGGCCTACAGGTAGGACACAGTCAAGCACAAGATACAGAACACACAGTCCCAGGAAAGAGGGACATGAGGGGCTGGAATGGAGGCACAGGTGGACAGGAGGACTACCCAGAGGACGAACAGATCTCTGGCTGAGAAGAGGTATACAGAGGAGGGGAAAGGACAGGCTACAAGCAGAGGAGTTGGATGTACGGGCCTAGTCCAGGAAGTCCTGGGCTGTGGAGAAGCCCAGGGAATGTTCATGGCTTCATTAGGGGCCACAGCTGGGCCTGAGAGGGTGGGGCTACCCTGGGGCCTATAGGCTCAGATTTGACCCAGCTGGTGTCAAAACAAGTCCCACACACATTCCATCTTTGAAATAGCTGAATGTGGAGTGGCTCTGGCTGCCTCCCAGTGGAAACGGCACCTGGCCACAGCTGGCAGAGCCCCCCTTGCAGGGTCAACTCCACAGGGACATATCTTGATGGGAGGACAACCTACCATAACCTCTGTTTGGGCCATGCAGGATGATGGGGGAATCATGTGGAATCCAGGGTTAGGAGGGCCCGGCCATGTGTCTATCTGAGGGGCATCCAGAGGCTATGAAAACACCAGGAGCTGGAAGGAAGGCCACGCCCCCTTTGAGTGATGGCTCAGCCATGTGGATACCGGGCCAGGGCTGGCACACGTGGTCTTTACAATGGAGCTTTGTGGGACACTAATGTCTTTAACCGTGGCCGCCTGGTAAACCAATGGCTGAACATCTGGACACATTGGGCTGTATCCCCAGCAAGGTCCTGGAGGGACTAGTCCATTATCGATTGTGGCCCACATTCCTATGGGCCACAGCTCGGTGGCAGACAATTGAGCTAAGGCCCTTCCCCAGTCGAGGTTGTTGGGGGAGGGCTCCTAGGAGCCCAAGGCCTCTCAGCCTCCCTTCCTGAGGCTCATCCACTCAAGGTGAGCCCCACTCCTGCTGGGCGCCTGTGACGGGCTGATCCCTCCAACATCAATGTGGAATAGGGCAGGTGGAGTTGCTGGTGGGACCAGAGAAGATGATGAGGAGGGATTGACCCTTGCCCCACAGTGTTGCCTAACGGCTTAGTGGCAGCTGTGAGTTTTAGAGTGGGAGATGATGGGTTTGGATCTTAGCCCCAATCCTATCCTTAGCCCCAGACTATCATGGGTGGGCCTTGCCCCAATCCTTTCACCCGGGTCAGTGGGTTTTGGTCTGACTTGAGTTCTGCAGTTACCCTGGCCTTGCATACCTGGCCTGCACTCCTGGTTCAGCATGCTGCCTACCTGGACTTACACAGCTGTCTTCAGCTAACTTGAGTTTCTGTTTAACTTTGATCTGAAGAGACAAGACACTTCTCTGGAAAAATACCTGAATACCTATACGTACCTGGTGCCACAGTCCTGGCCCTATACATCTAGACACCTCACCTTGCACACCTGGCCTTGCCTAGCACCCTGAGGCCTTTGTGCTCGTTTGTCTAAGCAAAGCTGGTAGCTCCTCGCCCGTGTCTTTTCTTCTGACCCCTGCGGGAGACCATGAGGTGAGTGACTGGTGCCAAGGTGTCCAGGGGAAACATTACATCATTCGGTTGGTATGTGAGGTGATAGCTGGGCACTAGAGGATCACCCATGGGAGCTCCCTGACATGGCTAGATCTGCTGCTCAACATGCGGCTGGGGCCCTGGGAAGGGTGTTGTGTCTATGGGCTTGCCCCTTCCGTATGTGGGTGGGGGCTGTGAGAGCGAGGAATGTGCAGGGGTACTACACCAAGGGTCCTCACCTGGGCTCCCACTGGTACTGACCTCTTCTAGCTGCCCATGAGTAGGGCCCGCTGCTGCCTTCAGCTATCTCAGTGTGGTCTGGGAATGACACAGAACTTGGGTCAAGGGGCTGCATAGACCCGGACACTTGACTTTCCTCTCACCCTTCTGTGTCTCAAAGCCTTGCCTACCCTGTGAATGACAACAGAGGCAGGCACAATTTCCCAGGGTACCTGAAGGCATTTGGGGGAGAAAGCAAGGTCTGGGGAGTCCGAATCCGGCATCTGCTGCAGGCTTGCTGTCATAGTCGGTGCAGCTAAGGGTCACGCACGCTGTAATTGAAACGTTGAACCTTGGGGACCATGCAGGCAGGTCATAGAGCATTTGAAAAGCAGTGAGGAGGGTGCTGGGGGGGGTCGGGGTCGGGGGCTCTGCTATGTTCATCGCTCTGGTGGTCCACAGATGCTCCCCACATCGAGGACCTTGGGGGCTCTCAGCTGTTCTCACCTTGGCTTATATCTGGCTCCTTAATCAAGCAAGAGACTTCAGAAGTGCTGCTGTTCTTTAGGACGCTTCAGTTAACTCGGGTTTCTGTTTAACTCTGATCCAAGGAGACAAGACCCCCTCCATGGAAAAGTACCTGAATTGCTTATCTTTCATTCCTGGCAACCTGCAGATAAGTATTAATGTGCACGGTGCTAGCTGAGCCGTCCACAGACATCCCTTTCTTCCACACACAGCAGATCCACCACCCTGCCAACCTGCAGGCTTCGGGCTCAGGTGAGCTGCAGCTGTGGAAGGGTAGGAGCGTGGAGAGAGTCTGCAGAAACTGATGAATATTCAAGGATTTGAATATTTGAAAGTCATTGTGTGGTCCAATGACTTCATACACTGATATTCTGTGAAACACTGACCACCTGATTATTCATCACTTTTCAAAGTTACATTTACAATCCAGTCTCTTTGAGTGTGTGTGTGCGCGCATGCTTGTGATATACTAGGGATTGAACCGAGGGTCTCACACATGCCAGGCAGGTTCTCTATCATTGAAGCACACACAAGCCTTCTCTGAGATAGTATGGATTGCCATCTTCAGTCAACCGCTGCACACCAGGTCTGCGGAACTTCCAACCGCCAGGCTGGAGCCTTTCCCCCCCATTTTTCTACCTCCACCAGCCAGAAACCCACCCACCTGTTGTGCATCTTTAGGTCGCTAGCATCCACCTGGGAGTGAGGTCACCTGGCGTCCATTCGCACCCAGCTTGTTTCATTGAGCACAGTGTCCACCGGGCTCCTCTGTGTTGGCACAGGACAGGCGTTCCTTGTGTTCAGTGTTGCACTGCATGCACAGCGCCTTCCCTTTCTCACGCCCGTGAACACGCACATGGGTTCTGCGCCTTGGCTGCTGTAAGTAGCGCTGCAGTAAAACTGGGTATGGGTGTGTCCTCCACAGCCTGGCCTCAGTTCTTTCGGATGCTGCTGATCATAGTGGTTTTGTTTCTTTTCTTTTTTCATTTTTTTTTCCCCTTTTGGTGGAAGCTTCCCTATGTTTCCCCTGGTGACTGACCTAGATTCCATTCCTGCCAACACTGTCAAGGGTCCCTCCTTTTTCTTCACCACCTGTTGCTCTTGCTAACAGATGTGAGAAAGTGTTCCGCTGTAGATTTTGTTTGTCCCTGGTGACCTGTGATCTGGAGCAGGTCTGCGCTGAATACCGCTTGGGTCTTCTTTGAGAAACGTCTGCTCAGGTCTTCTGCCCGCTTTGAAATCTGCTTGCTTGATTTTTCATTGAGCTGTGTGAATTCTGCATCAGTTTGGGAGACATATCCTTCCCTCCCATGCTGT